TTTCTGTTTCCTTTGATAATTTTACAATAAAGTATTGTACCAGAGAATGTTGTCAATGTCTGTTCAAATGTGACTTTTTTTCTTATGCTTAAGGTGCTAAGATGATGTATTTTCTGGACAAATCAAGACAAGAGAAAGCAATTGCTATTGCTACTAAATTCGATGAAACTATGAGAGACAAAAATGTGAAGGTAAAACAAATTTAATTGTAATCTCTATATATTTAGGGACAAGTAGGCAGTCTTAAAGATGTCATATGAAGCACAGGATAACGTACACTAAAAATTGTATTTTGGTTTAAAATTATAGTCTTGATTTCAGACTTTTCTAAACAAGGACAATGACATTTATTGCCAGAAGAGGGCACTTCATTCCTTAATCATGAAAGCTAGATCTAGTGAGGCCCACATTTTCTTTGGTAATGAAGTAGTCTAGACTAAATTTAAATGTTGCTCTTGTTTCTTCAGACTTTAACAAAAGTTTTCGAGGCACTGCTCGATGGCAGCTTTGGAAGCTGCCACACCCAATATGAAGAGTATCGGACAGCATGCCATAAACTGTTTCCTTTTACATCAGCCTTTATGCCTGCCACAAATGAGGATGATAGTAGCTTTGCATCAGTGAACCATACAGCTGTTAACCATGATGTGCTCTCCAATGAAATTTGATGTAGTGTACAAATAAAATATTTGACTATATTTACAGACTGGTGGGATGCAGATCAGGTTTACTTTTTCAGGATGCATTTTTTTATATCTTAAAAGTATAAAATGAAACATTTAGATGGTAAAATGAAAATGGAGTATGCTATAGTGCGTTTTCATCCAACAAGAACTGCCATTGTTTATGTAAGCATCGCTAATCAACACCTGTCATGTATATTCTTGTACTGTTAAGTCTTTTAACAACAAAATCCCCAAATTATGGACATTAAAGACTGTTTTCACCTAAGTGTTGCATATAGAAATAAACAATAATTACTTGTTAATGAAATTATAATTGAGCAGGTTTTAGCAAAAGTGCTTAAAAGTGCTGCTTGTATCATCTTCCTTCATCTTTTTCTGTTTGTTTTTGGTTGGTTTAATTTTCATCATTTTGGTTTCTTTTGAAGCACATAATTGGAAATGTTGGTTGTTTGCATGTTTCTTATCCATTCTGTGTCATACATGGAACTAGTGCTGGTGGAAATGGAGGCTTGGTTGGAAAAAAGTCTTACCATCAATTTTATCTACCTTTCGTTCCATAACTGTTGTCTTTACATTTTTTAACTGTTTAACATTTTAAAAACAGTTAAATACATGTAATTCCCTTAAATAATAGTGAATGATACTGTTTAGATACCATTGTCTGCCTACCTGTCTTTCTTTTTTTCATTGCCTCTTAATGGTTTGGAAAGGCTACTCCAGTTTTGGACAGATGCAAAAGGTACAATAATGGGGAATATGGTTCTCCTCAGGATCATAAAAATTCACTGGTAAGTTTACTGTATACCTCCATTAAAAGTCTTAGGTGTGGACTTATAGCCGATAAATGTAATACTTCTCTTGCCTAAATACTATTGCTTAAAATGCAAATACAAAGCAACTAGTAGTTGAGAAGTGCATTTTATATTAAAAACTATTTAAGGGAGCACAAAAAGGCTGACTACAAATCACAATGAACCTCTTTCTTATTCTGTGTTTTGGAGCATTAACTAATAAGTGCATAAAATATACAACACATCAAAATGAAAGTCTGAACTTAATGTAGCTGTTTTATAGCATAATATTGCTGGACAAAATGGCTACATATGACAGCTTTGCATTCTACATGAACTGCTATCAAAACTTAAATATACTGTGGCTTGTACAGAAAATACGTTTTCTGGAAACTGCAATGGAATCATTCTATCAGATTGTTTTTATTTCACTGCAATGTAAATATTTTCAGTAATATTAACTAGCCCCTTTAAGGTTAACATAAGTTCAAAAGGGGGATTTTATTAAGACAAATAAACTGTTCTAATTAAAATGGTCTCCTTTGTGTGTCATCTGTTTAGATTAAAATTTGTTGAATTGGAAACTCACTGTAAAATAATGCCAACACTTTATGCTGTAATAAATTATTTTGTACACACTTGCCTTTGGGTTTAATTTTTTGCAGATTCTGTGGCAACACAGTTTTAAAGTAAACATCCATTTCACATAAATTAGTTTTTCTGATTGAAATCTACTAACCTCAATTCCACAGTCACTGCAAGTTCAGCATTAATCTTTACAATTCCTGCAACCACGACCTCATGTATTTTGCTAATTGGTTTATGTGAGCCCTGATGTAATCAAGGGCTTTATTTCTAAATAACCCTCCTTGGATCGAATTTATAAGCAAAGAGTATACACTACCAAGCCTGTTGATTTGAAATAACAGGCCACTTACTTTGAAATCTATATTCCTGTTTTTCTCAGGAAATAGTGCTAGTGGCACTAGAGTGGTCACACCATTTCCAAATAACTACTCCCCAGAGTAATTTGAACTAATTACTCTCCAGTGCTTCCTGGGGCTCTGAGTTGAGGTTGTGCATCCTCATTAATGGAGCCTGTCTGACTAATTTCAAGGTTTCCCTGTAGTGGGGACATGCTACTTCAATTTTGTAAAATTGGGAATTAAATTCAATTTAGTTATTTTGAAATAGTTTCCTACTTCATCTTAAGTCAGTCTGAAATCATCTTAAACTGAAAATATTTAATGATGCTTAAATCTCAAATAGGAGAGGTTGTACAGACATAGGAGAGGTAGGTTGTAGAGACATTCCCAAAAACATGGATAAGCAACTTTTGTCTCTTTGGTCTTCCTGCCCAAAACCACCATTTTATGCCTTTGGGTGGGAAAGTAGCCTATGCATAAATGACTAGGGAAAAGCATCTAACTGCAGTTTTCTGCCATTGAGCCAAAACACCTTTAGACTCCATTTGATTCTGAAGTAGCCAAAGGTGTGTAAATCATTTGGCTCATCCAGTCTCAATATTGGGACCGGAAACAGATATCAGAATGGCTTGAGGTGTATTTTAACACTGAACAAAGATAGCAGTGCTATAGATATGCAGGAGTGATGGGCAACCTAGACTACTGAGTGGGCTGCATGAATTGGGCTCCCTCATATCAGTGGACCACAATATTGTCATTTTTGCTAACTGCCCTCATCTACCTAGAATTTATGCTTTGATTGGATAGGCTGGGAGTGCACCTCAATTTGGTGTGCAATCTGCATGCACCTCACTTCGTGTGCCCTTGCTTTAGATGTCACCTTAGTAATACCAGTAGGAAACAAACAATACAGGCAGAAACCCAGGGAAATGGGCAACCTTGTACATAGGCAACAGTAGACAATATGTGTCATGGGCCGTACATAGAACCCCAATGGGCCGCAGGTTGCCCACCACTGGCATAGAGCATAGGGTGATAGCAATGCCACTGGGAAATTCTTTTGATTTTGATCTTTTAAATCTTGAATATAGCCCAAAAAAGAATATTCATAGCATTGTGCCAACAGTTTATTTTCTAAGAGAGCAGAAGGAAAATGTAAGATAAAGAACACTGGCAGCTGAACTAGGTCTGTAGCTTTAAAGCTTCCAGAGTGGTGTAGCCCTTTTGAAAAGCTTGTATTGAATCCCTTCATCCCTCTGCTTTTTCTGGACCTCCTGTAGGAGCTGAGGTTGGCAGAGCTTTCTTCATGACTGGGGTTGCAGGTTCAAATCAGTCTCTATGATAGCTTCTGATCACCCTACAGACCACTGCAGAGGTGGTCTAGACTTATATAGGAAGGATAAGAATAAGATAATGGCTATAATTTAGAGGCATCTGTTTGTGAGTCTGTTAATTCAAGAACTCCTATTAGACAGAAGCAGTTAGAACCATCAAATTTAGTATGCAGTGTCCTCTTTATCTGAACTTAAAGCGAAGTCAGGGTTTGGTTGTGGCAGAAAAACAGGATGTGCCTGGAATTCATTTGTTTTACATAACATGGAAAGGGAAGGACCTTATTGGAGGGATGTGATACTGCATAGTGACCATTAGGGGCAGTGAGTGTGGAGAGTATCCGTACTGTAAAGCAGGGGTGGGCAAAAGCCTCTCAGCAGGCCAGATCTGACCCACGCAGGGCTTTGATCTGGCCTCTTCCAGGCTCTGCTCCCCCAGCGTGGAGTTCTTCTAACTGCTTCTATTTAAAGGCTCATGCCTTCCCCATACCTGTCAGGTAACACGTTGCCTGGCAGCTGCAGGAAAGGTGTAAGCCCTTTAAATAGAACCAGTGTTCTCTCTAAGCTGTGTGAATCCCTGATAGTCCAGTGACTAGGGAATTCTGCAGCACAGGTGACACATTCAAATCTGACATGCACAGGGGAGCAGCAGTGTGGCTGCAGTGGTTTTAGGCTAACAACTTGAATATATACCAGGGGATTGTATGTGAGAGGCTAGCCAGAGTCTCTGCTACCCTGCTATTTTTAGGTGCAGCTGAAGTAAAGCTAGTGTCTGTCTCGGCTGGTAATTACACAGTGTCTCAGAGGTGTAATTACTAGCTAAGGCCTTGGAAAACCCAAGGTTCACCTCCACCATCTTAACATGCATTCAAATATATTTTGCCTTGCCTGAACTCAGATGTTAATATGTTAAAACACACTTTTGCCAGTGTGGGCACCCTTTGGCAACATGCCTTCTCTGCAGTTAATGCAGGAGGTTGACACCCTGGTTAACCGAGACCCCAGGTGTCAGCATTCTCTCAGCAAAATCCTGCCCATCTTACTGTGTCTTTGCTGTTTTTCCATTTGCATGCCCATAGGAGAGCATATCCCATTATTCTTCCGATGATCATCCTACTGTGTGTATTCACCGTATGCCTAAGTCCAGAACTTTTTTGCTATCACTGTCTGCTGGTCTGCATGTATACCATATAGCTCTCCTGGTGTGGACTGAGCACATAATAGGTGGGGTGGGTGTGACGGACCCGGCCATGTCTGGGCACAGCTGAGGGCGTCTGCTCAGGACGAACTGCTCGAATCCGGGGCTACTTACAGCCCCCGACTGGTGACCTCTCCACACAGGCCACAAACCAATCTCACAGAGCGCTTCAGCAACCTGCCTGAAGCCTCCCGAGCAAACCCCCTCCGACCCCCCAGCAATATCCGTGCCCCAGATGGCCCCGGGCCTCATACACAGGTGGGGGGTCCTAGCACCCAATCCCACCTACCCCGAACAAGTTCTGTCCGGTTCCAAGAACCCAGCCACAGATCCCTGGTCAATTTACCCTCTGGACCTTACCCACAAATCACGCTGGGCCAATCCTTTAGAATCTGTATCTAAAGGTTTATTATTACAGGAAAGAAAAGCATGAGAGTAAGGTTATTAAAGTACAGTACGTTACATGCACCGAATCTCCCAGTTCTCGATGCAGGCTCTAGCAGAGATGTTGCAGCTGCTGGGTTAAAAGTTCTTATTGCACATCCTACAATCAGGATGGGTTCACAGGTCTTCCGGGCTCTACAATCCCTGCAGTGCTGCCTCTGGGATGAAGTGCTGAGCTGAGAACAAAATGGCATCGACCACATGGCCTCTTTATCCCTCCTTCCTGGCCTCTTCTGGTATGCAGCAGGTCACCTGGTCCTCAGCCTCTCTGTGTTCCCTGCTGGCTGCTCTCATTCAATACCCCACATGGCTCCCTTTCATCCCAATTTCTGGGGCCAACACCCCCACCTAGGGGTGCAGCAGCGATCTGGCTGCTTCCCTCCAATTCAGTAATGTGACAGTGGGTCAATGCCTTCCCAGCTCCTCCTTACCGATGAGTGGTCTGAGTTGGAATTTTTGGTGTCTTCAGCTTTTTTCTCCTGTGTCATTGCTGTAAGATGTTGTATGTAGTTTTAAGTAGCTTTTGTAATTTTATAGTATTGTCAACATAGTATAGTTAGTATTTTTCTCTTATTTTCCCGCTATTCCCCCCCCCCCCCATCCACGATTATGCCCAGAATTCATACACTTGTATTTCTTGCCCTTACTCCTTTTTAGTAAGTGCCAAACCTCAACACTGCTTCTACTGCCTGGGTGAGGCTTGCATTTCTGCCAAGTGCAGCAGCTGCCACACTTTTCCCTAAAGAACTTGTGCTGATCAGGAACTGAGATGCACAAAACTTCTCATGGTGAAGACAATGACGCCTCAGTCAGATCTGAGTTGGAGATGATTCCCTCATGCTTCTCACCAAACAGGCAGCACCCCTCTGAGCACAAGCTTGGAACAGAGGCAAAGACTTAAGTCCAAGGAGAACTTTTCATCTGAGAGTGTGGGGGCACAGTCACAGACATAAAGACAAACACTCATCTGCTTCCAGACTATAGAGGATGAGGGTGGTTTGGTGGCTAATGCTTCCCTCACAGTCACCTTGCATAGGGCAGATAACTTTAGGGGGATAGCTACAGTGGTTATGAAGAGAGATTTGTGATTGATTTCCTTAGAGATGTGCAATACTATCCAAGAATTGCCCTTCTCATGGATTGGGTTATTGGACACAGGTGAGCCACTCCTTTCCCTCAAAGACTTGAGGGCAGTGCTTTGTTTGCTGGACATTTATACCACTGCCCAAAAAACACCAGAGTGTGGCCTCCTCAGCCGTTTTACTGCCAATGTTTTCAGGAAACACCACTCAAAAGACTGAGGTTTTATAAACCCAGAACCCAGCTTCTTTTGACAGGCCTGCCAAGATCTGCATCCCTTTACTGGGGCTGTTTCGTTTCCCATTTCTGATATTTGGAGGTCGCTTTACCTAAATTGTCAAAATCTGGAGGGCCCTAACTACAAACAAATGGGTATTAAAAATGGTGGCTATCTGGTCAAATTTCTGTGCCTGTGCGTTCTCCAAGTTTCATGAGTCAGTTTCATAATCCACTAATCAGTATTTTTTCCAAACCTCATATTTCCACTGAAGAGATACAGCTGCATTCTCTTGACAGCTGAAGGGCTTTGGCCTTTTATCTTCAAAGAACAAAGGATGTTAAGAAGGCACCTAAACTATTTGTTACCATACCAGAGCAATCAATGAGTCAAGCTACAGAGACTTTCAGAATGGAACATGCGGTGTATTATCTTTTATTACCA